CCCCCCCCCCTCTCCGTCCCGGCCAGCGAGGCTGTACATGTGCTGATGGATTATTTGCTGCTGGCTTTTATTTTTCTCCGGAAAAACAAAACACCCCCTCCCTGCGTGACACCCCACCACTCAGGCCGCCGAGCGCAAGGCCGCTGAGGAGCATGTGCGTCCAGCCTCTCGCCCCTTCCCTCTGTCCACATCCCGCATGCCACGGCTGGCTGACCCTTTGTCTTTACGCCACTCAGGATGCCTCTCCCGATGCCTACGGCGACCTGCCGATGAACCAGTCCCAGGCCAAGACCGACGCCAAGTGGACCCGCCTGTCCACCCTGACCGCGGCCGATGCCGGGTCGACGGTCCTCATCCGCGGGCGTGTTCACGTCAGCCGCGGCACCGGCAAGCTGGCCTTCATCACCCTGCGCCAGCAGAGCCACACCGTGCAGGTGGTCGCTGCCGCCGACGACAAGACCATCAGCCGTCACATGGTTCGCTTCATTGGCAACATCCCCAAGGAGTCCGTTGTCGACGTGACCGCCACCGTCACCGCTGCCCCGACCCCGATCGACAGCTGCTCCAAGAAGGACATTGAGCTCCAGGTGCAGAAGGTCTTCGTCGTCAGCCGCAACAACCACCGCATGCCCTTCGAGCTGGCTGATGCCCTGCGCACTGAGGCCGAGCTGGCCGGCGACTCGGGCCTCGTCGGTGTCAGCCTCGACACCCGCCTGAACAACCGTGTGATCGATCTGCGCGTGCGTCCCCCGGTCTGCCTCTTGGCGATCCTCCCCCCCCCCCCTCGCCCCCTCCCCCGGCGCTGCCTCGCCCCATTCGCTGACTCTCCTCCCGCCTCTTGGCCTCGCTGGAATGTGTGGACGCCCGAATGTGCGCCCGTGCGCGCAGACCATGACCAACCAGTCGATCTTCCGTCTGCAGGCTGCCGTCGGCAAGATCTTCCGTGATTTCCTCCAGAACCAGGACTTCGTGGAGATCCACTCGCCGAAGATGATCGCCGGCGCGTCCGAGGGCGGTGCCAACGTCTTCAAGATGAACTACTTCAAGAGTGCGTAACAAATCGTCCTCGTGCCTCTCTCTCTCTCTCTCCCCTGCGCCCCACATGCTGCATGCATTCACATCTTCACCTGTGCACGCAATCTGCACATGTATTGCACACACCTGCCGTCCTAACATGTCGTCCTGCCTTTCCGGGGATACCCACATCCAGGCGAGGCCTGCCTTGCCCAGTCCCCCCAGCTCTACAAGCAGATGGCCATCAGCGCCGACTTCGACCGTGTCTTCGAGATCGGTCCCGGTACGTCGTCAGAGCCTCCCATTCCGACTGCAACTGGCCCTGCAACATCCCTCATCTGTTCCCACTCTGACTCCCCCCCCGCCATTAGGCCTCTCAGACGGAGGCCTGAGCAAGGACCACAATCACTTCTCCGTGCAGTGATCTCTCCCCTCCCTCCCCCGCCTTCTTTGCCTGTTTGCTTTCCCTCCTTTGGCGAACGAGCATCCCCCCCTACCATGTCCTCGACTGAAAACCCCCCTGCCACCGTTGAGCAGGTCACTGAGGCCGTTGAGAACATCGACCTCGAGGCCGGGTGCGCTTTCTTCTTTTGTTGATCTCCCCGGACGGCCTTCTGCCTGCTGTCACACGCACACATACACACACACACACTCACACATACTCACACTCACACACACTCACACACACTCACACACCCGCCACTCCTCGGTAGCCCCTCCAAGAAGGCCCAGAAGAAGGCCGAGGCCAAGGCTGCCAAGGACCGTCTCAAGGCTGAGCGTGCCAAGGAGCGTGCCGCGAAGGAGGCCCAGCAGGTACACTCGACCCCTTTTCCCCTTCACACCACCCCCCCCCC